GTACTGTAGATACAGAGGCTTCGATTACAAACTCTGGTGAGTGAATCTACCAACATCCATAGTACCTGCCCCTACAACACCTGTCCTTACAGTACCTGCCCCTACAACACCTGTCCTTACAGCACCTGCCAGCCTACTCCCATAGTTTCAGTCACCTGGTCTCCGGCGGCCCAGTATGGAAAAGTCTTCCTTGGACGAACCCAACGCCGCCTCGCCTCTAGGTAAGAACAGAGTTACTAACTTGCTGAGCTACTTAAGTAGGGAGTATAACGTCCTGGTCACGCTTTTCTGCTAACACCTTCTATGTTGATGTCAATGAATAGTGAAAGTATTGCCAGACCAGCTCTCACACTCCCTAGTGGACCATACCTCATTCATACATTCAGACATGCTTAATCTATAAATTCAGCCATCCCTAACTCATACACTGGACCATCCCTAACTCATACACTGGACCATCCCTAACTCATACACTGGACCATCCCTAACTCATACACTGGACCATCTCTAACTCATAAACTGGACCACCCGTCAATGAGCTCCAATTTAGGTCATTCACAACTGCTTTCCTTCAAACAGTGGACCAACCTCCGCCGTACAGCGCGGAGGCTCCAGCTGGTCCGCAAACCACAGTGTACCAGTCGGCCCCGATAACAGGCCAGCCGGCTCCGATGACAGGCCAGTCGGCCACTGTGACGATCCAGCCGGCCCCGATCTTCGTGCAGCCGGCCAACACCAGCAATGTTGTGGTGGTGGCTGCTACAGCCTGCCCTGCCTGCCGGGTAAGCTCATACTAAGAGGGCCCGGGTTCGATTCCCGGCAGGTGGAAACATTCGACACGTTTCCTTACACCTGTTGTCCTGTTCACCTAGCAGCAAATAGGTACCTGGGTGTTAGTCGACTGGTGTGGGTCGCATCCTGGGGGACAAGATTAAGGACCCCAATGGAAATAAGTTAGACAGTCCTCGATGACGCACTGACTTTCTTGGGTTATCCTGGGTGGCTAACCCTCCGGGGTTAAAAATCCGAACGAAATCTTATCTTATCTTATCTTATCTTACAATATACTAAACTCAGAAAGAGACCACGGTACAGTTGGGGTTAGAACACAAGGTGTAAAACTCCAGGCCAGTGTGTAAACCACTGGGCCAGCTGGCTGCAATAAGATACATCCAACTAGGTATATTTATGCACCATAGGGAGGTTAGCATGGACCACCACTGTAACCACAAATGCAAGTTTTTATAAATGAATCTCCTACCAGTGTGGCCGTGACGAACCATAGCTCAAGTCCCCTCAAACCTGTCATGACTCATGATGACACCTTTGATGGGACTTGAGCTAGAGTTCGTCACGGCCACACTGGCCTGGTTTGTTTACAGTCGTGTTATTATGATTTCATAACTCAGAAAACAGGTTCACCGGTGCATTAGCAAGTACAACTGAATTGATATAGACGCAAAATACTGTAGTTGTTGTTAGTGTTGGTGTACGTGTTGTTAGTGTTGGTGTACGTGTTGTTAGTGTTGGTGTACGTGTTGTTAGTGTTGGTGTACGTGTTGTAAGTGTTGGTGTACGTGTTGTTAGTGTTGGTGTACGTGTTGTTAGTGTTGGTGTACGTGTTGTTAGTGTTGGTGTACGTGTTGTTAGTGTTGCTGTACGTGTTGTTAGTGTTGGTGTACGTGTTGTTAGTGTTGGTGTACGTGTTGTTAGTGTTGGTGTACGTGTTGTTAGTGTTGGTGTACGTGTAGTATATATAAACTTGGCTAGCAACTGCCTCGTTTACCATAACTTTTGTTAATAATCAGTACCTAAACATTTTGAGCATCAATAAATCAAATTTGATAACCCTTATTAATCACAGACATATTCATACAACACGCATTTTGTTATTGTTAATAACTCAGGTTAATATTCGTTCCTGCATATGACAAACTAACTAGATGTGAGAAATTAACATTTGTATTTCAGTGTAATTCACTGATAGTTTAGTCTAATTCCAATTTAAGAGAATATTATGCTTTTAATGTTAGTGTCAATGTAGTTTTAGCCTTAATAGCCCACAGGCACTCATCAGGATTTTATCTAGAATAAGTGTGGCACATTCTAGCCTACCACACAGACAACAAAATAACAGTTAAAGATGAGACATCTGTATGTTTCCACCTTTATCTGAGACCCTCATCAGCAGGTGAAGCTGGAGGTCGAAATATACAGATCATTCTTCATCTCTGTGTTTCCATCTACACGCGGTTTGTCCCTCTGTTGTGTTTCAGTGTAAATAACTTGTGTCCAGTACTCCAGTTGATGCTAGTGTTTGTTTCCCTGGCAGGCGGGAGTGTTGCAGAGTGAGTTTACCTTGTGTGGTATCTGCCTGGGTATTTGGTTCTTCCCTCTGGGCCTCATATGTTGCTTCCTTATGAGGGAAACCCGCTGCTCTAACTGCCGGGCTAGCTACTCCTAGAGGACTACATGCTGCTTCGACGACGTCACCTGCTCCCAAGTGCTAGGATGTCACCCACTTTAACATTATTAACCTTGTATCCTCTTAGGATAGAGCTCACATATTTATCGCTTTGGATGCTTCTCTCTGCGACACCTGCCATAATTAACCGGTATCCTCATAGGATGCAAATCACATTCACATCCTAGGATGTCATCTGCTCCTGAAGCATTATAATTTTCCAGGCTGAGCATGTCATGAAGTCACCATCTGTTTCATGACCACCGTCCGCTCCTTGTTCACATGTTCCTGGAACACAAGTACCGTCTTACGTGAAGTTAGCGATGTGTGTACCAGGAAGAACCTGGTCCACACATTACCTCTTATTGTGATGCAGACTCCCTGAGTTATTGTGTCGGCTTATAATACCTTTATTGCTACAAGGTATACAGGTTATAGCTGACATCAGTGACATACTACTATATAGAAAGCCGCTTGTTATGCTGAGCATCTCGGGCAAATTAGGTCAATTTTGTCCCAGGATGCGACCCACACCAGTCAATTAACACCCGAGTACACATTTTATATGGATGGGTGAACATAGGCAACCGATATAAGGAAACACGCCCAATGTTTCTACCCTCGCTGGGTATCGAATCTGGACACTTACCGTGTGAAGCGAGAGCTTTTGCCACCAGGCCACGGGGCACATAGTTGCACTTGTGTTCTTTTACCTAACATATTATCGATAATTCTACCAACATTAATATAGTTATTTATAGTATTTTCTCTTCTATAAAAAACTGGGAGTCACAGAAGCATCTGACGTCATATAGAGACATATAGCGTAGTACATAGCGGTTTTAAGATATAATACTCAAATTCATTATACAAATAACCATCACATATGAGACTGAAACGTATGACGATGTTTCGGTCCGACCTGGAACATTAATTAGTCGTAGTATTGTGCCTGTTTGTTCTGTAATCAGATTCTTGGTTGGGTATGCGAGTATGAGGGACATGATAGACATGTGGAACATGGAAGATAAGATATGTGGCGAATACGAGATATGACGATACAAGCAGGATGAGGACGAGTAAGTAACGTCAATACGTCACTAGGAAAGGGCTAATGACGGGTGAGTAACGTCAGTATCGTCACCAGGAAAGAGCTCAGGACGAGTGAGTTTTTGTCTCTGTTGTCTCCCTTCGCTGTTGTCACACACCACAACAAGACCCCATAATACCCCACCTTCAAGTGTATAATGAAGATAAGTCACACCTGGTCAGCTTGGGTCATCCTGGCATACTAACTCTCCCAGTAAATAACCTCGATAATCTCTTCTACGTTGTAATTAGTGTTGCCTCCCACATACTCTGATACTGAGTTACTCTGTATCAGAGTAGCTCTGATACAGAGTTTGCAGGTTCGAGTCCTGCTGTGGACATAGAGACAATGTTTGTAAATAATTTCGCCTGTTTGCGAATTGTTAAGCAGGTGAATATGTATATAATTCCGAATGGTTATATTCATAACTATAATTTTAAAGGGGGTGGACGGGTAAGCCAGTGGAAGGTCCCGGTCAGAAGACCAAACGCACCAGCTGTGGGTCATCATATGACTAAGACCTGCGCCAGGAAACACTTGTTCTGTTTCCTGGCAAATTTTCCCTAACCAAAGGCAGAGGCGAAGCTCACACGTTCACTGTGGTGGTTCCTTCTTACAAGGTTATTATCTGTTCTTCTGACTTATCAGCTTGTTCGTGTATGTGTCCTGGTTCCCGTCATTCTATTTTGAAACTGTTGTAGCATATAACAGAGTAGGTCGCTGCCTTGTGTTATGATCTAAAGAACTATTATCAGTGATAATATCTGCAGAACTATTATCAGTGATAATATCTACAGAACTATTATCAGTTATAATATCTACAGAACTATTATCAGTGATAATATCTACAGAACTATTATCAGTGATAATATCTACAGAACTATTATCAGTGATAATATCTACAGAACTATTATCAGTTATAATATCTACAGAACTATTATCAGTTATAATATCTGCGACACAAACATGAAGTAAGAATATCGTATTATTCAGGAGATTATAAGAAAACTATTCTTGGTTATCAATATATATATATATTTAGGAATTACATAAATATAATAAATATTATTCAACAAAATAAAACAAGTGAATATTGAAATATGGGTGAAATTTATAAAAACAATTGACCTGAGTGACTGGTCACCTGAGTGACTGGTCACCTGAGTGACTGGTCACCTGAGTGACTGGTCACCTTAGGGGACTGGTCCCTGAGTGACTGGTCACCTGAGTGACTGGTCACCTGAGTGACTGGTCGCCTGAGTGCCTGGTCACCTGAGTGACTGGTCACCTGAGTGACTGGTCACCTGAGTGACTGGTCACCTGAGTGACTGGTCACCTGCCTGAGTGACTGGTCACCTGCCTGAGTGACTGGTCACCTGAGTGACTGGTCACCTGAGTGACTGGTCACCTGAGTGACTGGTCACCTGAGTGACTGGTCACCTAAGTGACTGGTCACCTGCCTAGTCACCTGAGTGACTGGTCACCTGAGTGACTGGTCACCTGAGTGCCTGGTCACCTGAGTGACTGGTCACCTGAGTGACTGGTCACCTGAGTGACTGGTCACCTGCCTGGTCACCTGCCTGAGTGACTGGTCACTTGCCTGGTCACCTGCCTGGTCACCTGCCTGAGTGACTGGTCACCTGCCTGGTCACCTGCCTGGTCACCTGCCTGGTCACCTGCCTGAGTGACTGGTCACCTGCCTGAGTGACTGGTCACCTGAGTGACTGGTCACCTGAGTGACTGGTCACCTGAGTGATTGGTCACCTGAGTGACTGGTCACCTGCCTGAGTGACTGGTCACCTGAGTGACTGGTCACCTGAGTGACTGGTCACCTAAGTGACTGGTCACCTGCCTAGTCACCTGAGTGACTGGTCACCTGAGTGACTGGTCACCTGAGTGCCTGGTCACCTGAGTGCCTGGTCACCTGAGTGACTGGTCACCTGAGTGACTGGTCACCTGCCTGGTCACCTGCCTGGTCACCTGCCTGGTCACCTGCCTGGTCACCTGCCTGGTCACCTGCCTAGTCACCTGCCTGGTCACCTGCCTGAGTGACTGGTCACCTGCCTGAGTGACTGGTCACCTGCCTGGTCACCTGCCTGAGTGACTGGTCACCTGCCTGGTCACCTGCCTAGTCACCTGCCTGGTCACCTGCCTGGTCACCTGCCTGGTCACCTGCCTGAGTGACTGGTTACCTGCCTGGTCACCTGCCTGAGTGACTGGTCACCTGCCTGGTCACCTGCCTGAGTGACTGGTCACTTGCCTGGTCACCTGCCTGGTCACCTGCCTGAGTGACTGGTCACCTGCCTGGTCACCTGCCTGAGTGACTGGTCACCTGCCTGAGTGACTGGTCACCTGCCTGAGTGACTGGTCACCTGCCTGAGTGACTGGTCACCTGAGTGACTGGTCACCTGAGTGACTGGTCACCTGAGTGATTGGTCACCTGAGTGACTGGTCACCTGCCTGAGTGACTGGTCACCTGAGTGACTGGTCACCTGAGTGACTGGTCACCTAAGTGACTGGTCACCTGAGTGTCTGGTCACCTGCCTGAGTGACTGGTCACCTGCCTGAGTGACTGGTCACCTGCCCCGAGTGACTGGTCACCTGCTGAGTGATGGTCACCTGCCTGAGTGATGGTCAACTGCCTGAGTGACTGGTCACCTGCCTGGTCATCTGCCTGAGTGACTGGTCACCTGCCTGAGTGACTGGTCACCTGCCTGGTCATCTGCCTGAGTGACTGGTCACTTGAGTGACTGGTCACTTGCCTGAATGACTGGTCACCTGCCTCGTCACCTGCCTGAGTGACTGGTCACCTGCCTGAGTGACTGGTCACCTGCCTGAGTGACTGGTCACCTGCCTGAGTGACTGGTCACCTGCCTGAGTGACTGGTCACCTGCCTGGTCATCTGCCTGAGTGACTGGTCACCTGCCTGAGTGACTGGTCACCTGCCTGGTCATCTGCCTGAGTGACTGGTCACTTGAGTGACTGGTCACTTGCCTGAATGACTGGTCACCTGCCTCGTCACCTGCCTGAGTGACTAGTCACCTGCCTGAGTGACTGGTCACCTGCCTGAGTGATGGTCACCCGCCTGAGTGACTGGTCACCTGCCTGAGTGATGGTCACCCGCCTGGTTTATCTGCCTGAGTGACTGGTCACTGCCTGAGTGACTGGTACCTGCTGGTCATCTGCCTGAGTGACTGGTGACTTGAGTGACTGGTCACTTGCCTGAATGACTGGTCACCTGCCTCGTCACCTGCCTGAGTGACTGGTCACCTGCCTCGTCACCTGCCTGAGTGACTGGTCACCTGCCTGAGTGACTGGTCACCTGCCTGTGTCATGTACAGTACTGTGCCTGCACTGTGTCACAGTACTGTGCCTGTACTGTGTCATGTACAGTACTGTGCCTGCACTGTGTCACAGTACTGTGCCTGCACTGTGTCACAGTACTGTGCCTGTACTGTGTCATGTACAGTACTGTGCCTGTACTGTGTCATATACAGTACTGTGCCTGTACTGTGTCATGTACAGTACTGTGCCTGTACTGTGTCATGTACAGTACTGTGCCTGTACTGTGTCATGTACAGTACTGTGCCTGTACTGTGTCATGTACAGTACTGTGCCTGCACTGTGTCACAGTACTGTGCCTGCACTGTGTCACAGTACTGTGCCTGCACTGTGTCACAGTACTGTGCCTGTACTATGTCATGTACAGTACTGTGCCTGTACTGTGTCACAGTACTGTGCCTGTACTGTGTCATGTACAGTACTGTGCCTGTACTGTGTCATGTACAGTACTGTGCCTGTACTGTGTCATGTACAGTACTGTGCCTGCACTGTGTCACAGTACTGTGCCTGCACTGTGTCACAGTACTGTGCCTGCACTGTGTCACAGTACTGTGCCTGTACTATGTCATGTACAGTACTGTGCCTGTACTGTGTCATATACAGTACTGTGCCTGTACTGTGTCATGTACAGTACTGGTCCTGCACTAACCACAGGCTACAGTGTACGTAAAGTAATAATGTGGCACCGTACAATCTTTACGGTAATTACCGTTAATTGATCCTCGGTAGATTTCCGCCATTAATTATAATTTAAATTGAACAACTTTAGTCGACTAAAATAAATATATTAATATTACTAAATATTTCCCAAAATAGCAATTTGTACAAGCAATACTTATTCTGAAGGTTACACTTGTTGTATGTATTGTAAATGTAAATTAATAACAGAGTTCCACAACTGTCGATAATAGTCGTCTCTTTCTTTGATGCTGATGAAGGGGTTTTAATTCAAGGAATTGGAGATACCTTCCTCTTCCTCGGGTCAAACGTGATTACCTATTCCCCAGAAGTTGTTTAGTGCCCTCGTGAATATAATGATGATCCAGAGGTATACTTGCAGATACAACACAAGCTAACGTTAACAACTGCTCTGGTTAGATGGTTAGTTAACTGGGCTTTAAACTTGTCGACACAGAGGTTCATTAACGCTGCATGACAACTTGTCGACACAGAGGTTCATTAATGCTGCATGACAACTTGTCGACACACGAGGTTCAGTAACGCTGCATGACAACTTGTCGACACACGAGGTTCATTAATGCTGCATGACAACTTGTCGACACAGAGGTTCATTAACGCTGCATGACAACTTGTCGACACACGAGGTTCATTAATGCTGCATGACAACTTGTCGACACAGAGGTTCATTAACGCTGCATGACAACTTGTCGACACACGAGGTTCATTAATGCTGCATGACAACTTGTCGACACACGAGGTTCATTAACGCTGCATGACAACTCTTCGCCACTTAATAAAATGATTTTAATCCCAGATATAGGCAAATAGGGAATAGGGTAATGTGTAGGTGCGCATATACTGGCATATATATGCCTCCACGTGTACATGCACTGTTGTTCTCTGTGTACACACATGTCTAAACAAATATACTCGTCGGGATATATACAAACTGCTATACAACCTTAATTGCTTTAGTTTAAAGCCTTTCATTGTGATTTCTTGTATATATTAAGTTTATACAGCACCGACAAGATGAAGACTTAGACACAGGTGCAACATCTGGGTGTCTTCACTTGTTGATGTTTCGCCCTCCAGTGGCGTCATCAATACAGTACAAGGACTTAATGTGAAGACGGGATATATATGCAGAAGACTGTGGAAGGTGAGGTAATCAGTCCCTCAGTGTAAGACGAGGTAATCAGTCCCTCAGTGTAAGATGAGGTAATCAGTCCCTCAGTGTAAGACGAGGTAATCAGTCCTCAGTGTAAGACGAGGTAATCAGTCCCTCAGTGTAAGACGAGGTAATCAGTCCCTCAGTGTAAGACGAGGTAATCAGTCCCTCAGTGTAAGACGAGGTAATCAGTCCCTCAGTGTAAGACGAGGTAATCAGTCCCTCAGTGTAAGACGAGGTAATCAGTCCCTCAGTGTAAGACGAGGTAATCAGTCCCTCAGTGTAAGACGAGGTAATCAGTCCCTCAGTGTAAGATGAAGTAATCAGTCCCTCAGTGTAAGACGAGGTAATCAGTCCCTCAGTGTAAGACGAGGTAATCAATCCCTCAGTGTAAGACGAGGTAATCAGTCCCTCAGTGTAAGACGAGGTAATCAGTCCCTCAGTGTAAGATGAAGTAATCAGTCCCTCAGTGTAAGATTAAGTAATCAGTCCCTCAGTGTAAGACGAGGTAATCAGTCCCTCAGTGTAAGATGAAGTAATCAGTCCCTCAGTGTAAGATGAGGTAATCAGTCCCTCAGTGTAAGACGAGGTAATCAGTCCCTCAGTGTAAGATGAAGTAATCAGTCCCTCAGTGTAAGATTAAGTAATCAGTCCCTCAGTGTAAGACGAGGTAATCAGTCCCTCAGTGTAAGACGAGGTAATCAGTCCCTCAGTGTACGATGAAGTAATCAGTCCCTCAGTGTAAGATGAAGTAATCAGTCCCTCAGTGTAAGACGAGGTAATCAGTCCCTCAGTGTAAGACGAGGTAATCAGTCCCTCAGTGTAAGATGAAGTAATCAGCCCCTCAGTGTAAGATTAAGTAATCAGTCCCTCAGTGTAAGATGAAGTAATCAGTCCCTCAGTGTAAGATGAAGTAATCAGTCCCTCAGTGTAAGATGAAGTAATCAGTCCCTCAGTGTAAGATTAAGTAATCAGTCCCTCAGTGTAAGATTAAGTAATCAGTCCCTCAGTGTAAGATTAAGTAATCAGTCCCTCAGTGTAAGACGAGGTAATCAGTCCCTCAGTGTAAGATGAAGTAATCAGTCCCTCAGTGTAAGATTAAGTAATCAGTCCCTCAGTGTAAGATGAAGTAATCAGTCCCTCAGTGTAAGATGAAGTAATCAGTCCCTCAGTGTAAGACGAGGTAATCAGTCCCTCAGTGTAAGACGAGGTAATCAGTCCCTCAGTGTAAGATGAGGTAATCAGTCCCTCAGTGTAAGATTAAGTAATCAGTCCCTCAGTGTAAGATTAAGTAATCAGTCCCTCAGTGTAAGATGAAGTAATCAGTCCCTCAGTGTAAGATTAAGTAATTAGTCCCTCAGTGTAAGACGAGGTAATCAGTCCCTCAGTGTAAGATGAAGTAATCAGTCCCTCAGTGTAAGACGAGGTAATCAGTCCCTCAGTGTAAGACGAGGTAATCAGTCCCTCAGTGTAAGATGAGGTAATCAGTCCCTCAGTGTAAGATGAAGTAATCAGTCCCTCAGTGTAAGATGAAGTAATCAGTCCCTCAGTGTAAGATGAAGTAATCAGTCCCTCAGTGTAAGATGAAGTAATCAGTCCCTCAGTGTAAGACGAGGTAATCAGTCCCTCAGTGTAAGATGAGGTAATCAGTCCCTCAGTGTAAGACGAGGTAATCAGTCCCTCAGTGTAAGATGAAGTAATCAGTCCCTCAGTGTAAGATGAAGTAATCAGTCCCTCAGTGTAAGATGAAGTAATCAGTCCCTCAGTGTAAGATGAAGTAATCAGTCCCTCAGTGTAAGACGAGGTAATCAGTCCCTCAGTGTAAGATGAGGTAATCAGTCCCTCAGTGTAAGATGAAGTAATCAGTCCCTCAGTGTAAGATTAAGTAATCAGTCCCTCAGTGTAAGACGAGGTAATCAGTCCCTCAGTGTAAGATGAAGTAATCAGTCCCTCAGTGTAAGATGAAGTAATCAGTCCCTCAGTGTAAGACGAGGTAATAAGTCCCTCAGTGTAAGATGAGGTAATCAGTCCCTCAGTGTAAGATGAGGTAATCAGTCCCTCAGTGTAAGACGAGGTAATCAGTCCCTCAGTGTAAGACGAGGTAATCAGTCCCTCAGTGTAAGACGAGGTAATCAGTCCCTCAGTGTAATATCAGGCTAACACTTGTCTTTCACTGTCTTCTACATATATTTCTCCAGTCTTCACATTATGGTCTTGTATTATATTGATAAAGGCACTAAAGGGCGAAACGTCTACAAATAAAGATACCCAGATATTGTACATGTATTGAATTCTTTATTGTAATTTCTTCCTCTACTGAAAAAAATATATTAAAAGTTGTATTAACCAAACTACGACGAAATCGATAAGTTAAATCTTATATCATTATTACATTTTAAATCAAGTTTTGGTATGACAGAGGTAGTGGTCAGTGTTTCCAGGAGACTACCAAGGTATTACCCAGGACGAGAACACTGAAACACGTCGCTAAAACTGACAGTGTTGTGTGCAACACAAGAACATGAGGCAACATCAGAGTTTAAGATAGTGTTGTGTGCAACACAAAAACATGAGAGAACATCAGAGTTTAAGATAGTGTTGTGTGCAACACAAGAACATGAGGCAACATCAGTTTAAGATAGTGCTGTGTGCAACACAAGAACATGAGGCAACATCAGTTTAAGATAGTGTTGTGTGCAACACAAGAACATGAGGCAACATCAGAGTTTAAGATAGTGTTGTGTGCAACACAAAAACATGAGAGAACATCAGAGTTTAAGATAGTGTTGTGTGCAACACAAAAACATGAGGCAACATCAGTTTAAGATAGTGCTATGTGCAACACAAGAACATGAGGCAACATCAGTTTAAGATAGTGCTGTGTGCAACACAAGAACATGAGGCAACATCAGAGTTTAAGACAGTGAACATAAATGTGTTGAAAGTGATATAAAATAGCGAGAGTAAGCTTCTTCAGTCAGATACTGAGGCAGCAGGTGCAGTAGTGAAATATTATGTAATTAGTCCACCAACCTTGGAGAAATAGTATTTGAGGTGGTCAGTCCCTCAGCCTGGAGAAGAGTTCAGCTCCACGGTCTGGAACGATATCGTTCCAGGCTGAGGGACTGACCCTCTCAAATATTATTTCTCCATGGTTGATGGACTGATTACATCATCTACATTTCACTATTACACCTGCTGCCTCTGTATTTGACTGTAGAAGTCTACTGTATAGGCGAAACGTTTCAACAGTAAATATACTCAGCTGTTGCACATGTGTCTTAATCATCAGTGAATATAAACGAGAGCATCATCGAGTAGTTTCAGAAGTATCTGCTACATAAACCTATATAATTTAGGAAATAAAATAAAGTTTTGATTATGCTGTAATGTCTGATTATCATGGCCATCACTACCACCTTCTGGACGGTGCTGTAATGTCTGATTATCATGGCCATCACTACCACCTTCTGGACGGTGCTGTAATGTCTGATTATCATGGCCATCACTACCACCTTCTGGACGGTGCTGTAATGTCTGATTATCATGGCCATCACTACCACCTTCTGGACGGTGCTGTAATGTCTGATTATCATGGCCATCACTACCACCTTCTGAATGGTGCTGTAATGTCTGATTATCATGGCCATCACTACCACCTTCTGGAGGGTTTTTACCTACGTATTTTGACATCAGTATTTCCAGACTACTTCAGGATCAGAGACGCTCACCTCCGTACCATCAAGAGTCCCTTCAAGCTGGAACGAGAAGCTGCCTTGATGTTCCTGAAAGGCTCTTGATCAAGGAATTTAAGCAACTATTCCCTTTTTGGATCAACCCTGATTACCCTCCATTCCACAAGCGCTCTATGACCCTTGTAGGTTTAGTGTTTCCACATGATTATATTACTAATAATAGCAGTACATAAATTAAACTTTGAATGGGACGTCAATTTTTTGTCTTGGCTAATCGTCTTGGGAAGAAAGAGTACTGCCCCGTGGCCTGGCGGCTAAAGCTCTCGCTTCACACAGCAAGGGTCCGGGTTCGATTCCCGGTGAGGGTAGAAAAATTGGGCGTGTTTCGTTACACAGACTGTCTATGTTCACCCATCAGTAAAATTGGGTACCTGGGTCTTTAGCCGATTGGTGAGGGTCGCATCCTGGGACAAAACTGACCTAATTTGCGGGAAATGCTCTGCATAACAAACTGCTTTCTATATAGTATTATGTCCCTGATATCAGCTATGGTCTGTACACCTTGCACATGTACTTACAAAAACAAAGATATTATTAAAGTAAACGACGATAAATCTGGATGACTAAAGTACCTTTACAGGGAAGTGATATGATGGTATGGAATTCAACAGGGTTTATGTACAAACGAAATGACAGGATTATGAGCATTTATACATTGTGGGTATCTTGCAGATTCTTGAGCCTTTTCTAAGGCGTTTGGAGAACGAACAACCTTCCGGAGCGTTGAGGAGAGTTTTTCCGTAGTGTAGCGATAAGTCGTAGTTGTCTAGATTTCAGGCACTGTAGGACAGGAGTAATTTTGGCAGGATTGTAAGAAGCCGTCCTCCGTCACCTCGTTGAGACGTTGTAGCCGCTCCACGTAGTGAGGACTGTATGGCACCCACCTGTAAGCATAGTTAACAGTGTGAAAATTTGGGATGAAATAATGACAAACCTGAGACAAAGACACAGTTTAAAGAGTAGGCTTTTGTTGGGACAATATTTCAGTCTCATCAATCTTTACACAGAATAAAATGTTATGTTGATAAAAGTTTGTTCAACAACTTGCATTTATGCAAATTTTAAATGGATGAGGATTTTCTAAACGAGGATATAAATACTTAAATATACATTAACGTGTGTATTTATGTCTGTGGTAATGTGTGAGCGATTGTAACTGATCTCTTTTCATAATGTAGTTTTATTACCATTCAGGGGACGTGCCTAGGTGCTGGTGAAAGGCACGTGATCCAAGGGGACGAAGCTACTTTAACATTTCTTAGATCAACCCTGATTACTTCCTGTTCCCCAGATATATGGCGCCTAGAATTTTAGTGGTCTCTCATGAAGTAGCCTAATCCGATATACGTTGACCAACCTTACTTGATGTGATGTTATTATATATATATATATATATATATATATATATATATATATATATATATATATATATATATATATATATATATATATATATATATATATATATTATATATATGCAAAACAACCACTCTGAAAGAATAGAGAAATTCCAAGCGTTGTTTTGCATATTTTGAAATCACCTGTTCACTGTGATCTTATTGCATATATATATATATATATATATATATATATATATATATATATATATATATATTATATATATATATATATATATATATATATATATATATATATATATATATATATACATGTATATATTAAGCTTTTATTAGTCTCCTTTTTGCTCAAAGTCATTAATTGTACAGAACAGCAAGAACAAGGAAGGGGGGTTAGATTTTTCAAGACGAACTGAATCACTACTTCGTATTGCCCTGGCACCTATGTTGTGAAAGCTACGTAGGCCTGTGAGCCGCTAGCAGCCTGACCTGCGCAGAAAACTGGCAATGTTGAAGATCATAGATGAGACGGTGATGTATCTGGAGGATTTTTCAGGCGTGAGGCACACTATCCTCTCCAGGCAGGAGTTGTCGTTGCTCACCTCCCCCAGCAGCCACGACAATAGCAGCAGCACGTCCTGCGGTACGACAGCAAATGTCAAAAACACACGCAGGAGAAAAATTATTTTTACATTCACACAGAGCGCCAAACTTATATAATTACTTGGCTAGCACAACGGTAGAGACCAGCTCTTGGACCTCATTATGTACCTCTGCAATCCTTGAACTACCGCCCAAAAGATGGGTTTGGGAGTGACTGCCTCCCGAAGAATGGGTTTGGGGTGACTACCTCTCGAAGGATAGGTATTGGGTGACCATCTACCGAAGGATGGGTATGGGGCGACTACCTCTCGAAGGATGGGTATGGGGTGACTACCGAAGGATGGGTGTGGGGCGACTACCTCTCGAAGGATGGGTATGGGGTGACTATCTACCGAAGGATGGGTGTGGGGCGACTACCTCTCGAAGGATGGGTATGGGGTGACCATCAACCGAAGGATGGGTGTGGGGCGACTACCTCTCGAAGGATGGGTATGGGGTGACCATCTACCGAAGGATGGGTATGGGGCGGTTACCTCTCGAAGGTTGGGTATGGGGCGGCTACCTCTCGAAGGATGGGTGTGGGATATATAACAGGGTTGTATCCTTCAGGAAGTGTTCCCTGGTGCTGAAGAATGGCTAGTCAAAAATTGAAGCTACCGTAGCCTCCCTTGGATAAAGCCTGACTGCCTTCCATTTTCCAGGCAGTATACAACCCAGGATGTTAGAATGTTAGATGTTAGAACCCAGGATGCAACCGGGTCCCGCACGTCTTCGTACACAATCACTGTTACCCAATTTTTTTTCAGCAGTTGCGTCAATATTTGCAAAAGTTGAACAATGTTGCATATATCAGTAGTATGAACCCCTGACCTCACTGAGATGACAAGAAGACTATCATAGTATCATGTATGCTCAACCGAACCACTTCCATTACTGAGTGCCACTGTGTACCATTGTCTCCACTGTACCTGCTGGTCTATGAGACCAAGGATGGTGGCCTCCTCGTCTCTCCTAGCGATGGTCTCCCCGGTGATGATGTAAGGTGTACCGATGATGATGGTCAGCCAGAAGGAGATGATGATGAAGATGATATAACCTGTCTTCCAGTTGTTCAAGAATGACTTGGAGGCTCCTTGTTTGTCCTCTACGACTGCTGCTGCTTCTTGAGAACCATCCACACAGTTGCCCTCAGCGTCCTCCACGCACCCAGCGTCGAACTAGTGCAATCAGAAATATATATATATATATATATATATATATATATATATATATATATATATATATATATAAAGTCGGTTCCTGACCAGCCGGGCTGTGGCTCATACGTTGGTTTGCGTGCAGCCAGCAGTAACAGCCTGGTTGATGAGGCTCTGATCCACCAGGAGGCCTGGTCACAGACCGGGCCGCGGGGGCGTTGACCCCCGGAACTCTCTCCAGGTAAACTCCAGGTAATATATATATATATAACATGTATATATATATATATATATATATATATATATATATATATATATATATATATATATATATATATATATATATATATATATATATATATATATATATATATATATAATTGTCTAATACTTTGAATCAAGATTGTCTCCTGTTGCCAAGGCAGTAAACTTATTCGGGTTTACTACTTCCATATAATAATAATAATAATAATAATAATAATAATAATAATAATAATAATAATAATAATAATAATAATGTATAGGTTCACTCGTAGCCTCACTTTCTCCTGGTGGTAACTTCATCTTCACTTCCTGCCTGCTCACCTTCTCAACAATCCTGGGCTGGTGGTGGTTGTTGTGGTGTGTGGTGCTGGTGGTGTTGGTGGTGCTGATGGTGGTGGTGGCACTCAGCTGGTTCATCTCCTGCCGTGGCACCGTCGTCGTCACCAGCACCTCCTCCTCGTCATGCTGTCAGCGCACAGGTTTATTAATACGTTAACACTATAGTAACAGTTAGCAAGGAAACTGAACCTTCAGATAGCAGTGGAACCTCTACTGTGAAGGTTCAGAGTAACCTGTATCTATAATAATGATGCTTCTGTTATTTTCGTTCATCTTATAAGTGTCAACAATGTCAAAAACAACGTCAGAATATATTACATAAAACTTGTTTCTAAAGATTATTTATGTACATAACGACTTTGGTCATACTAATAATCTTAGGTAAGACTGGTTAGGAAACAGGTGTGTCCTGAGGCGGGTCTTAGTCACATAGTTGACCAGTAGCAGGTCATATAATGATCCGCTACTGCAGCTTTTGGTCATCTGACCGAGGCCTTCAGCTGGCTTACCTGTCCACTACTTGAAAAATGAGATTATTAATAATCTTATAAATTATTATTATTATTGTTACTACAATTGTTATTATTATTATTGTTACTCTTATTATTATTATTATTGTTACTCTAAATCCAAAGGGTCATACAATACTCCGTTATAAGTCTTCTCGTATTGTACACCAGATGTCGATCAGTTAACAATTATATATTAAAACTCTCTCGCCAGTCATACAAATGTACCATGATGACAGTTAGTGGTTAGGACACCAGGGTAGATGTGTGTGGCACCGGTGAAGGGCTCTTGATCCATAGAATTAGAGCCACCTTCTTCTTCACTGGATCAAACCTGATTGTCTTCCATTCCTCAGGTCATGTATAATGTTCATGACATAAGTGTTTCCCCGTGAATATATTAATTATAATGAATATACACTGCATGACCCTTACGAGTTTAGCGATTGTCTTTAGTAATAATAATAATAATAATAATAATAATAATAATAATAATAATAATAATAATAATAATAATAATACGGACCTGGGTAGTTGTTTGGCTGACTTTTGTGGCTGGTTGGCTGACTTTTGTGGCTGGTTGGCTGACTTTTGTGGCTGGTTGGCTGACTTTTGTGGCTGGTTGGCTGATGTTGGCAGTGTTGGTGGTGTTAGGAGACCACCAAGACATGAAGACGTTCCTCAAGAACCTGTATAGACAAGATGTTAGTGTTGCTGGTTTGTGTTACTGGGTGTATTACTGGGTGTTACTGGTCTGTGTTACTGGTCTGTGTTACTGGGAGTGTTACTGGTCTGTGTTACTGGGTGTGTTACTGGGTGTGTTACTGAGTGTGTTACTGAGTGCTACTGGCTGTGTTACTGGGTGTGTTACTGAGTGCTACTGGGTGTGTTACTGAGTGCTACTGGGTGTGTTACTGAGTGCTACTGGGTGTGTTACTGGGTGTGTTACTGAGTGCTACTGGGTGTGTTACTGAGTGCTACTGGGTGTGTTACTGGGTGTTGCTGGGTGTGTTACTGGGTGTACTGGGTGTGTTACTGGGTGTTACTGGGTGTGTTACTGAGTGCTACTGGGTGTGTTACTTGTCTGTGTTACTGGGAGTGTTACTGGTCTGAGTTACTGGTCTGTGTTACTGGGTGTGTTACTGGGTGTGTTACTGAGTGCTACTGGGTGTGTTACTGGGTGTTGCTGGGTGTGTTACTGGGTGTTACTGGGTGTGTTACTGGGTGTGTTACTGGGTGTGTTACTGGGTGCGTTACTGGGTGTGTTACTGGGTGTTACAGGGTTTTTACTAGGTTATTACTGGGTGTGTTACTGGGAGAGTTACTAGATGTGTTACTGGGTATTTTACTAGGTGTGTTACTGGATGTTACTGGGTGTGTTACTGGGTGTTACTAGGTGTGTTACTGGGTGTGTACTGGGTGTGTTACTGGGTGTTACTGGGTGTGTGACTGGGTGTTACTGGGAGTATTACTGGGTGTTTTACTGGGTGTGTTACTGGGTGTTACTGGGTGTGTTACTGGGTGTGTTGATGGATGTTACTGGGTGTGTTACTGGGTGTGTTACTGGGTGTTACTGGGTGTGTGACTAGGTGTTACTGGGAGTATTACTGGGTGTTTTACTGGGTGTGTTACTGGGTGTTACTGGATGTGTTACTGGGTGTGTTGATAGGTGTTACTGGGTGTGTTACTGGGAGTATTAGTGGGTGTGTTACTAGGTGTGTTACTCGGTGTGTTACGGTGTTACAAATTTGAAATAAACCATTAAACAATATTTGGGTAGATCCTGGACCATTATCAAGCAACAGGGAACTCAATACTCAAGATAGACCGAAACATCTTGGGAAAGCTGCACTTGTAATACCTAGGTTAATCATGAAGAGGGTGTAGTTCAGTATATGAAAGAAAGTTTAACCTGGACTTCCTGATAAAAACTCAACTTCGGTTGACAACTCACCTGAAAACTGAGGCGATGTTAATTGTGGGCGCAGAAAATCCACCAGGTCCGAATGCGAGTTGTGCCTGTGTGGGTGGCACTTGTATGACCACCACTGCCACCACCACTAGTGCCAGCAGTGCCGTCGGCACCCCCATCCTGCAACAGAGTATCGTACACGACACACCCATCACTTAACACACCAAACAAGAGAGGCATAAACAAAAAAATTCTTGTAGAAATTACCTTCCAAACTAATTTTCAATAAACATCCTCGATATATCATACACAGACTGATACAAGTTCAAACTTCTGTGAGTTTTTTTCTGGCCTGCGCTTGGGCAACACTCACCTGGATAAAAGCAGGTTATATCCCTTATCAGTCGACGAAGTTAACTCTTAAATATCCTGATAAACTTCCGGTTCTTACTGGAGATCCTACAGATTTGTTAAATACAGTAAAACATCCTAATAAAACTTAAACTGTGGCTTACAGGTGTGTGGTTCACATCCAGTCATGGCTCGGTGGACTGTGAGGCAGAGATCATCTTTGTGAGCAGTAATGTTTGTGTACACTCTGTGAGCAGTAATGTTTGTGTACACTCTGTGAGCAGTAATGTTTGTGTACACTCTTAATTTTGATCCAAAAGAAACTTAGAAAACGTACCTAACCTTATTATAAGAAGAACAATTTATTTTAGCCTAACCCAACTAAATATATTTTAGATTTGTTTACAGTAATTTAGTACTAAACAAACACAGTGATATATATTTTTTTCGTTAGGTTCAGAATGATTTTGGCGAAATTATTGCATACACAAATTTTCGCTTGTCCTATATGGCAAGATGAGCATTGCTATTTAAGCCAAGATAGCAAGTTCTGCCTATTCGGCACGACATATTATATATATATATTATATAATATATAATATATATATATATATATATAATATATATTATATATATTATATATATATATATAGTTGATATCTTATTACTGCTAAAAAATACATTGGTCCCAAAGAGAAATAATCCCGGGGTGAGTGCATGTCAGCGCCACCTGTATTCCAGAATTCTTACCTTCAGGAACCCGGGAAATTTTAGTTGTTTCTTCTCTTGGTTTCTTAGTTTACTTGTTGCCCAGGGTGAATGGCAGTGATCACTGACCTGCCTGGTGTCTGTGTTCACTGCTGCTGCTGTCTGTGTTCACTGCCCCTGGTGTCTGTTGGGCAGTGTTCACAGGCTTATGGATCATCTGAACACCACCAAGGTGGCCTGGTAGGCAACACTCGCCTCACACAGTGCCAGTGGTTCGATCCCCGGCAAGGGTGGAAACATTGGGCGTGTTTCCTTGCACCTGCTGTCCCGTTCATCTAGCAAGTAGGTACCTGGGTGTTAGTCGACTGGTGTGGGTCGCATCCTGGGGGACGAGATTTAAGGACGACAATGGAAATAAGATAGTCCCTCGATGACCCACTGACTTTCTTGCGTTATCCTGGGTGGCTAACCCTCCGGGGTTAAAAATCCGAACAAACTCTTTATCTTGCCCAGACATCTGACAGCAAGGTTCATACAGCACAAGCTGTCGTAACCTGAAACAATACCACCTACAGTCTGCCACCTGGATCACTGCTACAGTCTGCCACCTGGATCACTGCTACAGTCTGCCACCTGGGTCACTGCTACAGTCTGCCGGCTGGGTCACTGCTACAGTCTGCCGGCTGGGTCACTGCTACAGTCTGCCACCTGGGTCACTGCTAGTCTGCCACCTGGATCACTGCTACAGTCTGCCACCTGGGTCACTGCTACAGTCTGCCACCTGGGTCACTGCTACAGTCTGCCACCTGGATCACTGCTACAGTCTGCCACCTGGATCACTGCTACAGTCTGCCACTTGGGTCACTGCTACAGTCTGCCGGCTGGGTCACTGCTACAGTCTGCCACCTGGGTCACTGCTAGTCTGCCACCTGGGTCACTGCTACAGTCTGCCACCTGTGTCACTGCTAGTCTGCCACCTGGGTCACTGCTAGTCTGCCACCTGGGTCACTGCTACAGTCTGCCACTGGGTCACTGCTACAGTCTGCCACCTGGGTCACTGCTACAGTCTGCCACCTGGGTCACTGCTACAGTCTGCCACCTGGGTCACTGCTACAGTCTGCCACCTGGGTCACTGCTACAGTCTGCCACCTGGGTCACTGCTACAGTCTGCCACCTAGATCACTGCTACAGTCTGCCACCTGGATCACTGCTACAGTCTGCCGGCTGGGTCACTGCTACAGTCTGCCACCTGGGTCACTGCTACAGTCTGCCACCTGGGGTCACTGCTACAGTCTGCCACCTAGGTCACTGCTACAGTCTGCACCTAGATCACTGCTACAGTCTGCCACTGGGATCACTGCTACAGTCTGCCGGCTGGGTCACTGCTACAGTCTGCCACCTGGGTCACTGCTACAGTCTGCCACCTGGGTCACTGCTACAGTCTGCCACCTGGGTCACTGCTACAGTCTGCCACCTGGGTCACTGCTACAGTCTGCCACCTGGTCACTGCTACAGTCTGCCACCTGGGTCACTGCTACAGTCTGCCACCTGGGTCACTGCTACAGTCTGCCACCTGGGTCAATGCTACAGTCTCCCACCTGGGTCAATGCTACAGTCTGCCACCTGGGTCAATGCTACAGTCTGCCACCTGGATCACTGCTACAGTCTACCACCTGGATCACTGCTACAGTCTGCCACCTGGGTAACTGCTAGCCTGCCACCTGGGTCACTGCTACAGTCTGCCACCTGGGTCACTGCTACAGCCTGTCACCTGGGTCACTGCTACAGCCTGCCACCTACGTCACTGCTACAGCCTGCCACCTGGGTCAATGCTACAGTCTGCCACCTGGGTCACTGCTACAGTCTGCCACCTGGGTCACTGATACAGCCTGCCACCTGGGTCACTGCTACAGTCTGCCACCTGGGTCACTGATACAGCCTGCCACCTGGGTCACTGCTACAGTCTGCCACCTGGGTCACTGCTACAGTCTGCCACCTGGGTCGCTGCTACAGCCTGCCACCTGGGTCACTGCTACAGTCTGCCACCTGGGTCGCTGCTACAGTCTGCCACCTGGATCGCTGCTACAGTCTGCCACTGGGTCGCTGCTACAGTCTGCCACCTGGGTCGCTGCTACAGTCTGCCACCTGGGTCGCTGCTACAGTCTGCCACCTGGGTCGCTGCTACAGTCTGCCACCTGGGTCGCTGCTACAGTCTGCCACCTGGGTCACTGCTACAGTCTGCCACCTGGGTCACTGCTACAGTCTGCCACCTGGGTCACTGCTACAGTCTGCCACCTGGGTCACTGCTACAGTCTGCCACCTGGGTCACTGCTACAGCCTGCCACCTGGATCAGTGCTACAGTCTGCCACCTGGGCCACTGCTAGTCTGCCACCTGGGTCACTGCTACAGTCTGCCACCTGGGTCACTGCTACAGTCTGCCACCTGGGTCACTGCTACAGTCTGCCACCTGGGTCCTGCTACAGTCTGCCCCCTGGGTCACTGCTACAGTCTGCCACCTGGGTCACTGCTACAGTCTGCCACCTGGGTCACTGCTACAGTCTGCCACCTGGGTCACTGCTACAGTCTGCCACCTGGGTCACTGCTACAGCCTGCCACCTGGATCACTGCTACAGTCTGCCACCTGGGCCACTGCTAGTCTGCCACCTGGGTCACTGCTACAGACTGCCACCTGGGTCACTGCTACAGTGTGCCACCTGGGTCACTGCTACAGTCTGCCACCTGGGTCACTGCTACAGTCTGCCACCTGGGTCACTGCTACAGTCTGCCACCTGGGCCCACTGCTACAGTCTGCCACCTGGGTCACTGCTACAGTCTGCCACCTGGGTCACTGCTACAGTCTGCCACCTGGGTCACTGCTACAGTCTGCCACCTGGGCCACTGCTAGTCTGCCACCTGGGTCACTGCTACAGACTGCCACCTGGGTCACTGCTACAGTGTGCCACCTGGGTCACTGCTACAGACTGCCACCTGGGTCACTGCTACAGACTGCCACCTGGGTCACTGCTACAGACTGCCACCTGGGTCACTGCTACAGACTGCCACCTGGGTCACTGCTACAGTCTGCCACCTGGGTCACTGCTACAGACTGCCACCTGGGTCACTGCTACAGACTGCCACCTGGGTCACTGCTACAGACTGCCACCTGGGTCACTGCTACAGACTGCCACCTGGGTCACTGCTACAGCCTGCCACCTGGGTCACTGCTACATACAGTCTGCCACCTGGGTCACTGCTACAGTCTCCCATCTCTCAGCAGTAAGTACCAAGTTGCCAACTTGTAATGTGAACGTAAACATGGAGGTCATGAGGAGTATGGGAACCGAGAGTGAATAACAGGTATATATTCTGCCTTAAAACGACAATGTATGGAATTACTTCAGCTAAATGATGTGAATTTGCTCTTGGTTTTACATTTGTCGTTGATGTCATGGATCAAATGATCGAACTCGTGGAAAAAGAGATCCTTTATTGACGATTTGTTGTATCAAGGCATTTATTACCGTTTTTTTTTCCATGTCGAGTAAATAAAAATCGGGATCCACTATTCGTCTTTACTAAGTAATGCTGTTTGTAACGAAGCGTGATATAATTTATTACACTTGCCTAATTTATTCGTCGATTTTGATTTCAAAAAATGGAAGATATGCATTTGATCTATTCAAACTTTTACATCCTAACCTGATTGTAGTCGATCTTCGATGCCTCTTATTTCCCCAGGCGCCCATAACCCGACCCTATGATTTTTCCACTTCCCTCCTAAATAAAATTGCAGTTTTAAGCCTTCGCATGTGTGGCGTATCAAAGCAGGATATATTAATGTGATTTACTGGATTATCCTGGGTTACTAACCTTCCGGGCTAATCCGAATTACAGAACGGTTGGGGCTGGAACTCTGTATTATCCACTGGATCAAAGTTTAAATAAAAGCCGCTCCATTGTAGAGTAACACCTTTGTGTAATGTGATCAGTAGAGGTTTAGTTCAAGTTTAATATGTTTATTATGCACCCCATACCCATCCTGTGGGCGGTAGTCAAAATATTACAGAGGTACATAATTGGTCCAGGGACTGATAGCTGAGCAAGATTACAGAGGTAATGAACTCACAATTTACAAAGGTAATGAACTCACAATTTACAAGTGTAATGAACTCACAATTTACAAAGGTAATGCACTCCAGGTAGGTCTGGTCACAATCATGACAAGTTACAAAGGTATTTACAGATTACAGAGCAGAGGGGCTGGAATGTTTGTAGTTTACCCAGGAGTCTAGAACCATTGATGTCGACTCTTACAGTGACATGGTCACCGCAGGAGCCGTATGTCTTTTGCGATTTAGCAAAAGAAATAAGATTGATAGTCTCCACATCTCATTATATGACCCCAAAGAATTTAATTCTTTACGCAGATGAGAGAGATTCCCATTCGAGAAAGTATGTTTTTTTTTTTTTTTTTACGGGAAGCCGGGTTGGGAGAGCAAGTTTTTTCAAGACACTCCGAGTGTGTTGTTCCATATATTGAACTCTAGAACAGGTGTTAAGACGCGTATTGTGTTCTAGCCTGTATTTATTGTACAGTGTCTTATGGCGTGTATTGTGTTGCAGCGTGTATTGTGTTGCAGCGTGTATTGTTATGGAGACGTGTATTGTGCTGTTGTAGCGTGTATTGTGTTGTAGCGTGTTTTCTTTCGTGCATTGTGTTATGGCATGTATTGTCATTATGGGATGTATTGTACCGAGTATTGTGTTGTACTGCATTTTGTTTTGTAATGTGAATGGTGTTGCAGCGTACATTGTAATGTTCGTTACTTGTTGACATTGAGCAGTAGGTTAGAAAGGAAGTGAGTGACCTTTCCAAAGCTCTATATAACGGTTCTGTTGCCACTGAACTTTTTTCACTAGCAACAAAAAAGTCTTCTGTAATAAAATCTGCGTTGTAATCATTATTATTATCACTGATGTCTGGAGAACGTCTCTACGTCTCGTGATGTTCGGAGGATGTCAGATGTCTCTACGCATCGACCTTCATTATTATAATAAAAAAGAAGCCGCTAAACCACAAGGGTTATACAGCGCGAATCGACTTCAGATTTTCACCATCAGAGTCTTTCGTAATAGAAGGTTGATCTTATGACTGGGGGGGATGGGAGGGGGGTAGGGAAAGGGTAGTCTTAGCTCCTGTCCCCGCCTCTGTTTCTGACAGCCACACTAAACTGTTGGTCTCTCGAGTCCTATAACTAGAGGGTATCATACCTGGTATCATCCCTTCTCCGAAAACTGCTTATGGAATCTGCTTCCTCCACTTCGTCTTGATCATTCCACTTCCTAACCACCAACTGTGCCGCCCTCTTCTTGTCAGTTCCATTCACTACCACCCAACTCCGACTAGGTTACCAGTATCTCTGGAGCGTTGCATCACCACTTGATATAGACTAAACTTGATATAAACTTAACAATGCCTGATGACAATTTTCACATCTTGCATCTTTATGTACTAGAATGCGATAGAAAGGAATTCAGAGATCACTCACAAATGTTCAAGAAATGTCGAAGTATTTTATTCAGAGTGGTATATTACCAACCATTCTGAAAAAATACCATGACTTTGGACAATGTAAATAACACAAAACCACTAAACTTGTTTAAATTCAAGCATACCTTTGTAAAATAAAATATTTTTGTGACCAAATTCATGTCTGCATAAATAACTCATTACGATTGTTACCAGATATATATATACTTGTAAACAGTTCATTACCACTAACTTGTTTAGCTATCAAAACTTTGTGGCCCAGTCCCTTGATCCATTACTCATGGTGTGGCTACTCCCCCCACCACGAGTATGGGTGCATAAGGAGTTTATTAAATTAATTCCTATCTAGTCCTAAGTAATTTTTTTTTTACGTCGTGTTGTCTCTTCATAGTTTCTACTCGATCCTGTCAGAGGGAGGTTCCTTGATGCTGGTGAGGGGCTCTTGAAGTAAGGAATTGGACCTATGCTCCAATTCTTTGAATTAAGCCTGAGTGCCCTCCGTTCCCCAGACGCTGTATGACCCCTACGGGTTCAGCGCTCCTCCATGAATGTAATACTCCATCCTAGTGTTGTAAGGTTAAGTTTGTTTGCTCCGTTTTCATAGGTCATTCTTTAGTTCCGGGACCAGTCTGGTAGCGAATCTCTGAACTTTCTCGACATGTGTGTTTAGCTAAGTGTTCCCTGCTAGCACTGCGTACGTGCTCTATGATGGGTCTGACCTCTGTGTGTACTCGCCTATATGTGGTTACAGGGGTCGAGTGTGTATGCAAATGCATTTCGTTTGCAAGGGTCGAGTCATAGCTCTTGGCGCAGCCAGGATTTTTTTTATTCATTGTGCTCAGACCCCCGGAACTCTCTCCAGGTAAACTCCAGGTATCCCATACCTACTCTTGAAACTGTGTATGGCGTTTAGCTTTCACTGAAGAGTTTTTAGTTCAGTATCTTTATTATTATGAAGAGCAGGCTTTATTCAGATTATTCCCGGCGGATTAATCATGATAACCCAACAGAGCCACTCGTTCACTAGGCTGCAGAATTGCTGTGTTATATCGGCCAGAACGTTGTGTAGCTTTAAAAATAGGTTGGATAAATACATGAGTGGATGTGGGTGGGTGTGAGTTGGACCTGATAGCTTGTGCTACCAGGTCGGTTGCCGTGTTCCTCCCTTAAGTCAATGTGACCTGACCTGACTAGGTTGGGTGCATTGGCTTAAGCCGGTAGGAGACTTGGACCTGCCTCGCATGGGCCAGTAGGCCTTCTGCAGTGTTCCTTCGTTCTTATGTTCTTATGTTCAAGGAAGATAAAAATTCTGAACTGGAAAATGTGCAGAGAACCTATACAGCTCATATATAACTGTCACTGGGAGCACTTGAACTCCCTAGAACTGTACTTCTTAGAACGTAGGCGAGAAAGATGCCTCAAAATACACCTGGAAGATGCTGGAGGGATTGGTAACAAACCTGCACATCGAAATTACAACTAATGAGGTCGAGAGGCTTGGGAGACGGTACTGGATACCTCCAGCGACGAGCGGGGAAGCAATGAGTATACTGCGAGAGACCTCAGTAAGTGTAGAGAGAAACCACGACTCTAACACCATTTAAGGGAGATCAACAAACCCCAAGCTCTCTTCAAGAGGAAACTCGACAGATTCCTCAAAACAGTTTGTGATTAACCGGGCTGTGGTGCATACGTTCGACTGCGCGCGGTGGGTACGAACACCTTTATCGAGGTCTGTTCTGGGACCGGGCCATGGGGGTGGTGACCTACGGAAGCGACTCCAGGTAAACTCCTTGTGAACTCCAGGGTCTGGACCGCTGAACGCTCCTGGATCATACACTTTCAGGTGGCTGGCACGTGTTGGTTCCGGGCCTCCTAGGGACGTGTGTGTGTGTGTGTACTCACCTAGTTATACTCACCTAGTTGAGGTTGCAGGGGTCGAGTCCGAGCTCCTGGCACCGCCTCTTCACTGATCGCTACTAGGTCACTCTCCCTGAACCGTGAACTTTATCATACCTCTGCTTAAAGCTATGTATGGATCCTGCTTGTGTGTGTGTGTGTGTGTGTGCGCGCGCGCAGGGTGGCCGGGGTGGAGGGTGGAATAATATATACACATTTTGGTGCAACAAGAGGTCCCATCAACATTACTGCATGATTACTAATCTAATGTACAAGGCTAGTCTGCAGCCACACTAACATTACATACCAACACAAGACACTGGTCATGGGTACTGATGGGCCATTGTCTGCTGGCTCGCACTACCAAGCATTACAATCCACAGATTACGTCGTCTAATTATAATATCTTTATTTACTACAAGTACATGCACATGGTATACTGACCATAGCTGACATGACATACTACTATATAGAAAGCCGCTTGTTATGCTGAGCATTTCGGGCAAATTAGGTAAGTTTTGTCCCAGGATGCGACCCACTCCAGTCGACTAACACCCAGGTACCTATTTTACTGATAGATGAACATAGACAACTGGTGTAAGGAAACACGTCCAATGTTTCCACTCTATCGCCGGGAATCGAACCCAGACCTTCACCGTGTGAAGCGAGAGCTGGATGCTGGTGATGAGCTATTAATGCAAAGAATTAGAGCTACCTTTCATTTGTAGTCCTTTGAATGATACATTTAATGGGTCCCACTCTGGCGATTAACAGAGGATCGAGCTCAGCTTTTGCGTCCAGTGACATTCCCACCAGTTTAGCATTTGGTGTACATAAGCGTAGTGGTGCCTTCAAGGGAGGTTCCTTGATGCTGGTGAGGGCTCCTGATCTAGGTAATTGGATCTCTGCTCCAATTCCTTGAATTAAGCCTGAATGCCTTCCATCCCTCCTTCCCACATGCGCTGTATAATCCCTACGGGATTAGTGCTCCCCATGATAAAGCGTAGTAGTGCTAAGGGCGGCGTTGACTGTCTTGCTGCGCACCTGACCCTGCGCACTTGACCCGCTTTCCTTGTTGGAGGTGACAGTCAAGGTCAGGCTGCAGTGTTCACTTATTATGAAGTCATCCGCTACATTTGCTGCTGCCTGTTCCGGTTTACACAGGGAGAACACCAGGGAGTCAAGGGTACAGAATAAATTAACGAGTAGCGGAAATAAACACAACAGGAATAGAGGCGAAGAAACTGTTGAATGAGCTGGATATCTGTTAGTGGGACCAATGTTTCATTTGACAATGTACCACATATGACTCGTCCCCTCAAGGAAGGTTCCTTGATGTTGGTGAGGGGCTCTTGATTTAGGGAATTGGATCTGTGCTCCAGTTCCCCAAATTAAGCCTGAATGCCTTCCACATCCCCCCCCCAGGCGCTGTATAATCCTCCGGGTTTAGCGCTTCCCCCTTGATTATAATAATAACCACACATGACTCAGCCAGACACTAAAGACAAGGCAAGGTTATCGGGAATGACATTTGAGTAGACCAAGGAATAACGGACTGGAAAAAAGCAATGATTATGAGGGAAGAGGCATTAGATGGACAGGGGTACCAAATGGACTTCCACAAGGATCAGTATTAGGTCCAGTATTGTTCTTGATATGTGTATGACCCCAATGGAAATAAGTCACTTTGACTTTTTTTTTGGATTATCCTAGGTTCTCTACATACATGCTGCTATGTATGATAATCTGTGTAACTGTATTTGTGTATACTTGAATAAACTTATGCCAGAAGAGATAGTCTGATGTATCCCTCTTCGCAGGCGATGTAAAAACTGGAAAGAACAAAGGCTACAGCTGGACCTGGACAGACTACAGGATTAGTCAATGTTCAGTAAAATTTAACACCAGTAAATGCGAATTTATGAAGATTGGAAATGGGGATAGAAAAGGGAAAAATGAACCAGCTCTTGGGACAGAGGCTGAAATAACCTTATTAATGTAGCAAGACGTAGAGGGAACACACTATACCAAGCATATACTGTAGTGAGAAGCGCCTATAAAGCAAATAAATTCTGGGGTCTGAATAGACACTCATAACCCTAGATACAAAATGTCTTGCCCATAATTAAGTATGCAGCACCAGCTGGGAAACCACACCTGATGAAGCATGTTAAGAAATTTAGAGAAAATCCAGAAGTTCACAACAAGACTAGTTCCGGAGCAGAGAGTAATGAATAATAAAGATAAACTAAAGAAACTGAACCTGATGACATTAAAGGATAAAAAGACTAAGAAAAACATGATCACAAAGTACATAATAATGTATAGGGTGGAGAGGAATAGGCTGTGACTAGCCACTAGTACACAATACACAATACACTAGTACACAGCGCATAAGTGGAAATTAAAGATATAGACGAGTCGCAAAATTGTCAGGAAGTTTTTTTTTTTTTTTTCAGAATCAGGATGGTCAGAAA